AGCAGCAGCAGCAGCAGCAGCAGCAGCAGCAGCAGCAGCAGCAGCAGCAGCACCAGCAGCAGCATCATCAGCATCAGCATCAGCATCAGCATCAGCATCAGCATCAGCATCAGCATCAGCATCAGCAGCAACGGCGGCGGCAGCAGCAACAACAACAACAACAACATCAACAGCAACAACAACAACAACAACAACAAAACCAACAGCAACAGCAACAGCAACAGCAGCAACGGCGGCGGCAGCGGCGACAGAGAGGAGCAACGCCAGCAGCAACAGCAACATATAGCAGTAGCAGGAGCACCAGCCGCCGCGGCTGCATCGTAGCAGGACGTGGGTCATATGAGCAATAGAAACGACGAAGACCGTCGCGCGTCTGTCGCATCTAAGGCGAGTCACTCCGTTGAGCTGAATGCAAATTATCCGTGCCCCAACCAGCCGGGCACTCATTGCCACGCGGCCGCCATTCCCAGACCGTTTGTGTGGTTTGGGCCCCAAACCTCAGAGCACTTAATGCCTCTCTTATCGGAGGGCATGGGCACGGACAGATCTCCTTGATGGTTTCGGGTCAAGATTTCAGTTTTCACTTTGCAAGCGTGAATCCTGATGCTGGGTAAAGGTTTAATCTGCAGATAGCCTGAGTTTTCCGGGAAAGGCAGCTCATCAAGGTGTCCTTGCGCCAACTGTCACCCAGGCACCCCAACTAGTCATCAGGACCAGCATTTCAGCTTCTCTTGCCCACTACTCAAGTGGATAGGAAGAATGTCAAATAGTGTATGTTAAGGTATCCCTAAACCCTAAACCCTAAACCTGAGAGCTCGACGAGGGTGACTAGTGAGGAGGCACCTGAAGAAGACGCTGAGGTTGTGGATTAGGTGTGTTTTCTTTGTGCACGCTCAATGAGCGAGCCTTCGACATCTTGCGGGAGAAAGGGGGCTATTGCATTTAAAAAAAAAACCCTAAACCCATGTTGAGTATTCTTCGAATGTCCCAGGCATTGCCAGCGAGCCGCTGGATGCTCTGCCAACGCCAGTGACAGCAGAAGAAGCCTATGAGGAGGCCAAAGCAGTTATGAGGCGGGTCATGCTTGGGGTGTGGGGTTTGGGTTTTGGGGTTTAGGGTTTTGGGTTTAGGGGTTAGGGTTCTGAACAGATTCGGAATGAAAAGAGTTGCTTTTAACAGGTACCCGGTCGACTCGGTTGCCGAGGGCTTGATGAAGAAGTTCGAAGTGACTGAGGTCGATGCAAAGACTTTCGTCGCAAAGGCGCTGCGAGACGTGCAACAACAAAGACCTGTCCTCAACCGTAGTCCCATTTCAAATGTCATGTCACCCCATCGAGATTTTCTCGGAGGGTCGTATTGGGGCCGGTTCAAGTGCAATGTGCCCTCCCATTTGGATCTTACCGATGCTCCGTCTTACAAGGTCGCTAGTGAAGGCAGATAAGTCATGAGAGGCGATCTTGGATGGCCAGAAGTTGGATAAGTTCGGCTACGGCAAGGGCGATGGCACAGACAGAGTGAGGTTGTGGAAGAAGGTTGTGATGGATGAGCCTGGGCTGGAGTTGGGGAACCTGCAGCTTTGAACAGTAATTAGCCGCCATTAGCCATTCAGAACAGGCCGGGAGCAGTCCCAAAACCTCCATCCTTCCATGCCGCCAAGGATGCTAACCTCACCCTGACCGTGCAGGATTTTGTCCCAGAGGCGGCTCTGGGTGCATGGGTTGGTGAGGCCTCGGACAAGGTTCCTCTCAACAACTGCATCGTTCAGTTCGAGAGAAAGCCGCCGCGACTTATTTTTATCTTCGATGACCAGGAAGGCAAGCGACAGGCGGACGATGCAATGAAGAACGCACTGTATACATGGTCGGATGCCATCGTCGGTGGTGTCATCACATTCAAGACTTCCAAAGTGCAGGTGACCGGAAATGCGCCCTCCATCGTAGATGGAGGAAAGACGCAGAGCATGATTACATCTCCCATGGACGATCTCGTGGGATACGACAAATTCTGGGACCAGCACCTCAAGTATTGCAAGGACTTCGTCCGAAATGCGATAGCCTCAGCTAAAGAGTGACGATGATCGTGATGATGATGAAGAGCAGGTGGAATGCCAGGATGATGACCATGGTGGTGGTGGCGGTGCTGCTGCTGTTCTGGCTGGTGTAGCTGCCGCCGGCCACTGCTGATGACGGTGATGTTCAGGGTCATGAAGGGTGACGATCACGATCATGGTGCTGGTGATGATGATTCAAGTGACTTTGATGGCAATGGTGGTGCGAACAAGAGTGTGGTCAGTGTAAGGTTGTGGCTGTTGTTGTTGTTCTTGTTGTTGTTGTTGTTGTTGTCGTGGTGGTGGTGGTTGTGGGGACAAGGCTTTTCTGCTTCACAAGTCTCTGAAGTATTCCGTGCAGCGGGTGCTGTGGCAGCCAGAATTCGCCCGCTATGAGCAGAGCCCGCTCGCTCAGCGTCCAAAAGAACTGTTGTGGTTGCTGTTGTTGCTGCTACTGCTGCTACTACTGCTGCTGCTGCTTCTACTGCTGCTGCTGCTGCTGCTGCTGCTGCTGCTGCTGCTTGCGCATCGAACACCACAATGCCGTCTTTGCTTGCCTAGGGTGTTTGTCGGCATGTGTTTTTTATGCATGTGTTGTTCACACTTCTCTCTGCCGACGCTTAGTCGAAGGTTAGAAGGAAGAGATTCCTGCGGATGAGGTATATTAGGGCCACTATGAGCCTCCTTTTTGAGAGTGTTTGACATGTGTGCTGTTGCATTGGCTAATCCACTGGCTCAGATGCCTGGAGCTCAGTGCGAAGACATATCCCCCGACGAGCTCCTTGGAACAACATGGAAGCAGAGCCGTTTTTATCATTCTCCAAGCAGGTATGTTTGACTGCATTCTGTAGAATGGCTTCACCCTTTTCTTGCGTAAGGTTCAAGGGCACGGTTGTTCTCGACCCCGCCAACCCGTCCGAGGCCCACCGTCTTTCAGAAATATGTCAGGTTTTCTCGGAAGTGATATGGCCAGTGCTGCTAGTGGTTGATCTGGTGATCAGGGCAGCTCCATATGAGCTGCAAGGCATCATCTAGTAGGCCTGGCATTCATCTGGCCGCACTATGTCACGCCAGTATGGATGCAGCGCAACTGCTGTGCATGCAATCCTCAAGTGTTTTGTTAGAGATCTGCATTTGTTTCCATGAGGACTGTGTTTATTGTCAACCGTTTTCATGGCTCATCACCACATCTCCAGCGGCCATGCAATTCAAGCAGTGCCTGCGTGCAACTTGGTATCCTTCGACACGCTGCGTTTCGGGAGGTTACGACTCACAAGATCGTGTCGTCGAAGTCCGACAACAAGGCCAAAGACAGCAGTCAGCGAACAAAAGAATTCGTGTTCGAGCGGAAGTTTTCGTCAGGTGAATTGGACCGTCGAGTATCAGGGCAAGGCCGGCTCAAGGCTTCAGGGTCTTTTTTTTGCAGGGCTCCTTGTCGTAGTGAGGCAAACCTGGAGGCGCTTTATCAAGGCTAGCTTGCGCGCAAGGGTGTTCAGTTGCAGGTTTGGGTTTGTGTGGGATCTCGCATGTGCGGCTTTGCACATCTCGGAAGGTAGTTTCCGAGATGCATCGCATCGTCCATCAATCTCCGCTGGTTCTGGAGGCGCAAGGGGCTGGTGCAGTTTCTTCCCCTAAACCCCTAAACCCTAAACCCTAAATCCTAAGCCCTAAGCCAAGCCACGAGCACGCATCGAAGCGTGGCAGACTGACCTCAGCCCTGTCCCCTCCCAGGGCTGGGACATGGACGCCTCGGGAACTCGTGTCGCCGGGACCTCCAAAGCCAAAGAAATGCAGAAAGCCGTCAATGAGATCGTCCGCAAGGCAAGGCTGCGAAAAACAACTTGTGATGCACCAATAGGTGTCGGGTTTAGGGTTTAGGGTAGTACTACAAATACCAGTGTTAAGACCAAAACTCAAACTAATACTAACTCGCATGACGAATACTAACGAAGAAGTGACTAATGCTTGTCCTGCTTACGCTGACTCCAAGCGTGACAGCCATTGCCAAGGCCAGCAGCTGGTTTGGCTGAGCCTCCCAAGGCCCCGAGCACTCTTGCGCTTTTGAAAGCTCTGGTGGGAAGTGGAGCTGAAAGTTTTCGGCAAGAATCCGGGAACTGAGCAAGATGAATTTTATTGTGAAGAGTTCATGGGTGCTGCTGTGTTTGCCTTTTGCCACTGATGTCATCGGAGCCGCCAGACTCCTGCTGTGTCGCAGAAAAAGTGTCCATGCATCTGCTTCCCGCATGGAGCAGGGCACAGAAGATGCCCTCAATTGTTTGTTGGCGATCTGCCACACCAGTCACCCTAAAGTATTTCGTGTTGCTAGGATTTGCTGCTACTAGTGTGTATATACTGTATAGCCCATGTATCTGCGTGTTTTGGTGTCCCGTCACTCCGATGGGTTTCGGCCGCGGATCCGAGTCCTACAACTTGTGCTTCGCTGACCAGTCGGAAACACCGTGCGGGGTGCTCTTGCAAAGCTGACATCGGAGCAAAATGCTTCTGGGCCCACTGTGGCAATCCTAGACCGGAGTAGGATCGCACAGCCTCGCTTCAGTGTCGGAGGCATGGAACGAAGAGAGGTCCTCTCAGGATAGATGTGTAGGACGTGTAGCCTTTTCCCGCGCACCGAGGAAAATGGCTTGAGAGATTTGGGATGGGGCTGGATGGGGTGCAGACCGGCTGACCTGCAAGTTTGGCCCAGGTTCCTGCAGCTACCCCGCTGGTTCCCTTCGTCCTGAAGGGCCCCCCACCAAGCTGCACCAAGGAGGAGCGTTCTGAAACCAAAGCAAGTCATTGCTCAGAGCCCACGGGAAGACGAAGCTGGGAGCTGAAGTGCTCGGAATTTCATGGTGCATGAATAACAATAACAATAACATTAATAACAGTAATAGTAATAATAGTACAAATAATAGTAATAATAACATTAATAAAAGTAATAGTAATAATAGTACAAATAATAGTAATAATAATCATCTAGCAAGCTGGCTTGTTGTCGAGGACCGCGTGAAGGCGCTGAAGTACGCCGCTGTGGTGCCGCCTTCTGCGAAAAAGGCAAACATGGGCAGAGCCTTCTTTTTGTGGTCGTCGGTTCTCACGGTTTAGGATTTAGGGTTTAGGGTTTAGGGTAGGACTTCAAAGCAAGAACGACTTGCACTTGTACCACCAAGTTCCTCAGCAGCTGCCCTCGAGACATCGGGACTCTGTGTTTGATACGTGCGCAGTTACCGTAAGGAAACGGCAAGCTGTGGGTCCAGGTTTTTACCATGTTTCCCAACTGATGCAACGAAGGCGATGCGAACAGGTTAAGCAGGACCCGAGTGTGACACGACTGCTCAGTCGCTGCATCGGGCAATTGCTGCGCTACCAGCAAGGCCATGGCGCGCTTTGTACTTGTGACTTCGAGTCTCAGCCAGGAGTTTCGCATCATGCAAACAGGCGACTAAAGGGATTTCGGGAAGGACGGTTCGAGTTGCTGACATGCTTTGGGCCACTCCTTTTCTGAGCGCCAGTCTGTTTCAGGCCACGCGCCCGGGCCGTCGAAGGGCTGCGATAGGAGTCCTGGAGCCAAGTCGAAGAGCCTAGGCTCTTGAGACAGGCTGGCGCATCTTTGCAAGGCTGAACCGCAAATCATTGGAAAAGGCAGCTACTCAAGCACGATCACCGCACTAGCCTGTTCAACTGCTAATACCTTCTTCGCATGGATGATGGAGGGGGTACATGGCAGATCTGTTCGCATCTATGTGTGAGCATGCTGCTGCACAGCTCTCTACTCCTTCTGCATCCACGTGGAGCCATGATGGTGCTCTGAAAAATAGAGTGCCTGATCGTCTCACCAACATTAGCACGCCACGCTGGTGCCAGTCTTCGTACTGCGAAAGAGGGCTTTCGTGCATGACCAGCCCTTGTGCTTGCTGACGCATGCCAGGGAAGCAGCCGCAGGTCTTGCCCGCACGGGTTGCATGCTGCCTCGCAGATTGACACAGTATGTATACCGGGCAGTGCTTAGAAAGGGTGTCCAGAAAGCACACGGTGGTCCGCAGTACTTTCATGCCAGCGTTTATCTTCTATCGTTATTCCCTCTTCTGTCAAATTGAAGCGTAGGGCATCCGCTGTCGATGGAGCGAAGTTCTTGCGATGCTGCGCCTGTCAAGATTGCTCTGCGACCCTCGTCGTCGCCTCGGCCGCATCGGCAAGGGTCGTGAGGGCCCCACGAAACCTGCGGGACTGAGGTCGAGGCACTGTGATCATGTTCGGCAATGGCAAGGTCCGCCGAGCATGAAAAGCGTTTATCAAGCTTATGGCACTATCCTTGGGCGCACCTTGGCAGAGCTACGGCTTCATCGCTCCGGATGCAGGAGGTCCTGACATTTTCGTACACAAGAGGTGGGCAATGTCCAGTGATGGTCAGTGCAGTACATGCGACTCTCATCAAGCCGAAAACGTCTTCCCCTTTTGGCAGGAACGTTCGCCGGGATGAACAGGGGAGGCCCGACAATCAAGATCCCACCACGTTCATTCTGACAGCCGTGCCGCATTCCCCAGGCGAGTGGCCTTGAAGGAAGGGGAGCGCGTCGAGTTCGAGTTGCAGCCGGACCGAAGTCCTTGTCACTTCTGGCGATCTGCTGCCGGCCATGCTGCGAGGAGCCCGGCAAGGACGGTCGGCCAGTAGCAGTGGATGTGGTTGCCGCAGCCTTAGACCTTCGCCCTGCAGACGCTCTCACGCCGTGCATGTGGCGGCTGACAAGAAAACGGTGTTCAGTCTCCGTGCTTTTGTGACAATCGCAACGCACGTGTGGCATTCCGCGGGCTGGGCGATATCAGCTCACGTGGCCCTGAGGTCCTGCCGCCCTAGGGAGCGGGCTGGGCCTTCTCTTCCGGACGACTGGGCAACATTGCAGAAGGGAAGATCGGCATCAAGAGTCACCATTGGCGTGACGTTGCCAGCTTCTGTGAATGTGAATGCACAGCGTATCTTCTGCACGGATATGCAACGACGACGGCCAGATCATGACCGACCTGCCTGGTGATGGCAGTTGGCATGGTGTGGTCCTTGCAGATTTTGCAGGGACCGCCATGAAACGGCTTCAATCTCCGAGATGCTGAAGATCGGCGCAGCGTGTTCCTCCCGGAAAAAGCCTATTGCTCGAGCGGCGAGCGGCCGCGCGCGCAAGAGATTTAGTTTCATGTGGTGCGCAAGCCCAGGAGAAGTTGTGTAGACCTCATGCGTTTGCGCCGAACTGAGCCGTCATTGATCCCGTCATTGATTCAAGGTTTTTATCAAAGCGAGGTTTGTTCCGTGCCTGTTGTGCTCGAAAGGGAATGAGTGGAACTGGAGAAGACGGCTAGACACGAGATATTGTCCCCTATATCCCGGCAGCAAACCTAGGCCCTTGCCTATCAAGCGCATCTGCATCGGGAACTCCATCGCATGACTGTGAAATAGCAGTCGCAGTTTCACCTGCCTCCCATGGAGTCGCATCCTCAGAAATGGGGGTTTCCTAATGTAGTATCCCAAATAGTAGGATCCTTATTATAAGGACCCCAAAGTAAGGTACCCCTTATTTTCGGAAACTCCCAAATGGCTTAATGGCGGCTGTTGGCAAGTGAGTCAATGAAGGGGCAACATCAGATAGAGCTCAGAGATCCCAATATCCCTTAGTTAGGGATTATGCATTAAATTATAGGGGCCTTAATATGATAATTTAAGGTCTCTTCCTTAAAATTACTCTAAAATTAAGGGGTACTTGGGATCTCTGGGAGGAAGAACGCGCAATTCTCAAGTTCATCCGCAGCCTCAGTGAAGGTCAAGGCTCTCAACGCTGGAACCCCCAAGCCCCCGAAGCCACCAACCATCTGGGATCCTTGGCCCTTGGGATCCTTGGCCCTTGAACCCTCAGCCCCCAAAAAGTCGGCAAGATGATGGCCCAAGACCTGGAGAAGTTTGGGGTTAAGGGTTCAGGGGTTTAGGGCTTCCATTATTCTGAATGCTCTTGGGGTCCAAGGTGGAGCGTAAGCCTCAAAGCCCTAAGCGACCAGCCGAACCCTAAACCCTAAACCCTAAACCCTAAACCCTAAACCCTAAACCCTAAACCCCTAAACCCTAAACCCTAAACCCTAAACCCTAAACCCTAAACCAGAGCCGTGGAGCCCAGGGCCTCGGTGCGCTGGGCTCGCGAGGAGCGGCGTCGAAGGGCGAAGTGCCCTAAAGAGTCCCAGGTTTGGGGTTTAGGGGGTTTAGGGGGTTTAGGGGGTTTAGGGGGTTTAGGGTTTAGGGTTTAGGGTTTGAGGGGGTTTAGGGGGTTTAGGGGGTTCAGGGTTCAGGGTTTAGGGTTTAGGGTTTAGGGTTCACGGTTTAGGGTTGTTTAGGGTTTAGGGTTTAGGGTTTAGGGTTCCTAAACAGACGAACATGCTGTAGCATATAAGGCTGTAGGAGTTACGAAGAAGGGGGGAATAAAGCACGGATGGGGGGATGATTGGAGGCCGAGCAGCAATGCTAATCACACGCTGCATGAGTTTTGATGAGATCTGGGCAGGAGCCGTTCCCATCGCCTCAAAGTTCTCCACGAACTCCAGAGGCAGGGCAGGGTTGGTCTCCGCAGTCGTTTGAGGGTCTGACATGGTTTGGATCGTTTCGGGGCGGTTTGCGGCTTGAGAGATGGTTCAGGGTTCAGGGTTTCGCTTGGATGTCACGTGCCAGGAAGTAGTCCACGTTTCTCAAGGTGACACCCCAAACCCCAAACCCTAAACCCTAAACCCTAAACCCTAAACCCTGCTGCAATGAGAAGCAGTGAGTTGGCTCGGTGATGTCAAGCGACTCGACACGCCTCGGCAGACCATTCAGACCCCGCACGTCGAGGCGGCACAGGCGGGATTTGGGGGGCGCTTTCCGTTCTTGAAGAGTCTTCTCGGGAGTTCTTGGGCTCATTACGTCTCGATGTAGTCTACTCCTCGTGTTGCTTCGCCTTGACATCTGGGTGGTTGCCATGTGCCTGAGACTGGAAGGCCATCCAGAGGCTGATCTACGTCAGAGACGAGGTCCCTGGACTGGGATTGGGATGCACAGGGGCATGTGTGCAGTTGGTTCGTGGAGAGGGCTTCTGATGTTGGCGGCACGGAAATGCACGCACGACGTCAGTGGAAACTGTTCCGGCAGAGCTTGACTGGTAAAATGCCCGACTTCAATGCAAGAAGGCATCAGCTTCTTCGCCAAACCCGAAAAAATCGGATAATGTAGGCTATTTTGGGGGGTTCCCTGTTAGAATTGTAGCATAATATACCCCAAAGAAACATCGGTGTTTTTGATCTCTTGGAGGTCGCTCCGGCCCGGGAAAGGCTCATTTCTGCCAGGCGGACAAACGAGGTGCTCCAGCTTTCTGTGCCTGTCCTTTCTCTTGACCTGAAATATAATATATTAATATAGTATGTTGTCATGCACTGTAACATGAAAGTATACCACGGGATGTTTTTTTGCGCAGAATATGCTTTAATCTTCAATTTTTCTGGGAGCCGCTCCTCGGCAGGCTCTTGGCGAAGTCAGTCGCAGAAGGCCTCTGCACACTGCTTCGCACTTGGCAGTGCAACGGTGCCCGATTCGGGTTTAGGGTTTAGGGTTTAGGGTTTAGGGTTTAGGGTTTAGGGTTTACGGTTTAGGGTATAGGGCCCGGGCTGCTTCAATGCAACTGCGTGAAGTTTCAGCGCACCGCTTGCCCGGCACCGCCACGAATTCGCCTCCAGCCTCAAGCCTTCCCTTGAGGGCTGCGGCTTGGGCCTGGAATCCTCTTGAAACCACTTTGTGACTTTTCTGACTGCCCCAGCCACTTTCGAGACTTGCATCTGGAACCTCTAGACGTCAAAACGGCTCTAAACGTCAAAACGGCCCAAATCATGACGATGTCAAGCCTCAAACGCTCTCGAACATGCTTTTAGCTTTGTCCTGAGCAGGCCGCGTCCGGCCAGCGCTTCGGAGGTGAGGCAGCTACCAAATGCCTCCATGTGACGCACTCGGAAAGGGCCTTCGGGATGTCAACGTTGACATCGGAATTTTGACATAGGGGTTTCGGGTCTCGATCAGGTTTTCATCGGGCTTTTTGACCTGGTTGCGCATTTTCCGGTGTCTTGAGGAGCTTTGTTATTGGGCTAAATATAAGAAGAGGAACCAAAAATAACCCTAAAGCCTAAACCCTAAACCCTAAACCCTAAACCCTAATAGTAGTACGAAGAATGAGATTGGCAGCTGCTGGTTCTCCGAAGTCTGAGCGCGTCGCGGTGCGGTCACTCCCGGTTCGCCCAGGGGTGCCTTTGCGTGACTCGGCTGGATTCATCGCTATGGACCAAAGCAGGTAAGAAATCACTGACTACTTGAGTTCGTCCAGAATGATCAGGCGTTTTGAGGACTTGTCAGCTCAAGTCCCGTATCTTCGTCCACGAAGGCCTCCGTACATGCCGAACAGCGCCGAGCAGGCCGCGATGCATCTTGTCGCTGCGCCTGACATGGCTTCGATATTGCAGTTCGCAAGTTTCGGAGTCCAATATATGGATGCATCATAGGCTGCTGAAATTGGCAGAAGTGAGAGCGAAAAGAGGGAGAGAAAGAGTCCGAGAACGAGGGCTTTGCAGGTTTACAGTATAGGGTCTAGGGTTTAGGTTAGAAGGTTTTGAGTTTACCTGGAGCCTAAAAGACCTGCCGTTTTAGCACTCCGTTTTCTAGTTTTCCAATATAAGTCGAGTACTTCGGGTTAAGGTAGGGCTTAGGGTCTAGTATCTAGGGTTTGAGTTTGTAGGTTTAGGGTACTTCAGTGTCTGAATTCTGGAGGACGGCTTCCGCCCGAAGGCCATCTACTCATCGCCATCCTCGGCTGGCGGAAGGCTCGGGCGCTTTCGTTCGAGTCCAAGACATCCTTGAGCTCCCACAGGATGGGAAGAGGCCACATGAGGCCGGTGGCTCAGTGCCCTGTGATCTCAGTCGGAGGAGTGCTTCTGGCACAGTTCATGCCCGCCGAAGCACATGCAAGGGATGGAGAACCAGAGACCTGTCAGCTTATGTGCACTGCAGGGCTATGCCGACTTTGGGTGCAAAGCGTTTGGCCAAGGATGACGCAGCTCCGAAATGCAACAGTCAGCAAAGCCATCGTCCTGCTTGCTACCAGCTATCCTTTGGGTTAGTAAGGTCCCTTGAAGTTCATGTAATATAGGGGCCTAAATAATTACCTACATTACTTTGGCGTTCCTTATCAGAATTATAGGAACATGGGCCCCAAAACTCTATTCTAATTATTAAGGCAAAGTTCCCCTAGACGGCTTCCTCCAAGAATTCTTCAAGTTACACGCGCTCCGTCCCGGGGCTGCTCTAAGGGTTCCTCTAACGAGTTCCTGCAGCTTCCCGACAGGGTTCCCAGGAGGTTCCACTAAACCCTAAACCCTGGCTCCCGGGATCATGCCTCCACCATCATGGTATTCCGGACACCTTTCAGGCAGAAGGAAAAGAGGTGTTCAAAAAAAAAACCCTAAACCCTAGACCCAAACCCAAAACCCAAAACCCAAAACCCTAAACCCTAAACCCAAAGCCCTAAACCCAAAACCCTAAAGTCTTCGCTGAGGGCTCGACAACCGCCACCGCGGAGCCCGAAGCGGCCCGAGCTTCGCGAGCGGCAGAAAACACGTACGCGGAGCCTAGGTAAAGCTAGGCGACTGGCACCATGCATGCCGGCGCCTCGGGCACCCCGAGGGTTTTTGCCAGCACGTCC